TCCGAAACGTCGGGCCGAAGTTAAAAATCATTTACAAATAAGTTTAACTAATATATCGCGTTTTAAGCCGTTAAAGTGTTTTATTAGAATCTTCACTATTTTAAGTTCGTGTTAGCTAGAACAAAATTGTCTTTGCATGGAGCACGACATATTGCTAGTTACCTGTCCTTTCCACAGATAATAGAGGTTATGTACTATGCCGTTTGAATTAGCATTTATATTGGTCTACTTTGGCCAACCAGCCTGTAAGATCTTCATCTCACGTCTAGTTACGAGGATAGATAACAAGATTTTGTGCCTCAATTGTTTCAGTAAGGACTGAACAGTGAGCTTGATATAATTTAAATAGTTTTAGTTTGTAGATCAAAATGATAACTCATATTTCTCATTGACTTTGTATAAAATTTAATAATATAATCACAAAATAGATATCCATGGAGTATTCTTACCTTAAAGCTACCATACATTTCATTCCATTAGAGAAATGGATTCATTAATTACCAGTTAAATAATTTGTATGTATTCCGAGAAATCATTTTACTTGAAGCTGGGCAAGACTTATTTAAAATGTAATATAACGTACCAGCTTAGTGTAGCACTTATATTATTAAGAGCGAAGAGTTGTTATTTTTTGTGTATGTTTGTAGTGACTAAACTCATAACCAACTGTGCCCATTTAAATTGCAAATATAATTGATCAAGGCTGCTAAAAGTACTTATGTATTTTGACCAATATAATTCCAAATAAAACACTTAAACGGTGTAAAACGCGATATACTTACATTCGTAAAATAATTGGTCATAACCATCGGAATTTTGTAAAAAATACTTTAAACTTCAACCACGGCTACTGCAAAGCATCCGAAACGTCGGGCCGTACATAAAGTAATTTTCAAATAAGTTTAACGATATACACATATCGCGTTTAAAACCGTTACACTGTTCTATTCAAATGTGTACTACTCGCGTAAACTGCAGATATATTTAGCATGTACTTCATATAATATTCGGGTGACTATGACCAATTATTTTACCAGACTTTGCATGAATCTAATAAAAATAAAATCGAAGCTTATTGCTTGAATACTAGAGATTGACGTTTTCAAATGAAACCAATCTGTGTGGCTCCGACATACGACAATACGCTTCCGTGCGATCACTTGCGGCGCTGACGTCACAAGCTCTGACCAATATCACGTGGTTTCCGCTCAGCGGCCGCTTTGAGCTTTCAAGTGTATTTACGCACACTGTCACAGGTCGCCATCGCTACAGTCCATTTCCAAATGGCGTCAGAGGATTGAATGACCCATTTTCAGATAAATTAAACGCAATACAATCGGGCTGCACTTTTTCCACGTCCACGCCCTCAGCTTCGATTTAAATACGTTAAAGCTCGGTGTACTTTTGAATGGCGAATTTCACCAACAATGGCGAGCGTGTTGAGAGACAGCTTAGTTACACAAACGAGCTTTGTGCTCGGGCTGTTGTATTTCAAACGACAAACGTTGAAAAATATTATAGTTCAAAAATTAAGCAGGCTTAGTAGAGAGTTGCCCGAATTAGATACAGGGGAGAATTGAGCTATATTTTAACATGTGATGTTTGACAACTACCGCCATTGATACATTTTACGTTGGACATGAGATTTGGCGGTTTAAGGCCAGTGTTTAAAAGATGACGTCACAATAACTAATAGTTCTAGAACAATTACAAAAACGAATCGTGAATTCTGAATTTCCATTTATAAATTTAGCATTTAGCGCGTCATATTTTGTTTTCATAATATCGAGTAACACGATCAAGTAATGCGTAAAAAAGACTTACCCTAAGTGCATGCCATATAGAAGGAAGATCTCCCGCCAATTCAATAATCACCGAACACAACGCACTGGGCCAAAGGAGCAGCGATCGATACCGTCACTACACAGCCGAGCGGACGCTGCAAACACGCCGTCCTGACGCTCCGCTTCACATATTACTCTCAAGTTATTAATTTACAAGCACGTCCACTCATGAGAAAAGCAACCTGAGACGACCGCAACGTACGAAACCTTATTACTTCCCTTCGCTTCAAATATAAGGTGACAGATACGTCGATGGACCCGAACGAATCGCGCAATTATTTCGCCAAACAGTTGCAGCATAACGGGTCACTTTTCACGGAGTCGCTCAGCGAAAAACTCGAGGTGATAGTACGAAACACGTCAACCTAGTACCTATATAAAAATAATATGAACAATGTGGGGACAGGAACCGGAGTCGCGTAATAAAGGAGCTCGCGTGGGGATAGCACGAAGGGTGCATTGTGCACCGGCGAAATTTGGAAGGGCCCGCTCCGCGAGCCCTTGTTTAGTCCCCCACACTTGCGCAAGATCCCGACCAGTTTTGATTTTCGTGAATACGGTCGTGCATTTAACCGTTCACGAACACCCTTTACGAGCACCGTTATTCAATGATGCTTCTTTGACAGACTTAAAAACATGGTATACAAATTCTCATGTGAATTTATATTGTTGTTAAACAATACATTTTTTCTCCTTTAATCTTACAGTTATTTTATGAGTAGGCTAAAACCCACCAATACAAGTCAGAAAATAATATTTTTATGGCTGTCTAGTGAACGTCGACATATTTGAATTGGTATAGCACTTGACATACTCAAAATTAATAGTATTATTTATCAAGAAATTTACTCCGTTTAAAAGATACGCAAACCAATACTTACAATGGCATGCCGCTATAATCCTTTGAATCATAAAGTAAATATTTATTAAGCATTCAGCCAATATGAAATTTATGATTACAAATTTCATTTGTATATATAAAAGGGTATTATTACATATACAAATTTACAGTCTACTTCAGACTAGCATTCTTATTAAGATCTGCAGAAACTAATGGACCCATGTCCTGTGACTTGTAACATTTTGAGCCAAAGGGAAGTAAACTTTTGTGATCGAGTTAAAGCGTCCAATAAGTTTCTAACTGCCTTGTTTATGTCAATAATTATTTCAACGAACATCTCATCGTATATTGGCGTTATAAGAAAGCTCGATGTGATTAAATTTTGTGATACAAAAACAGACAAAAGAACCTAAATAAACAATTATACACGTAATAAATTGTGTAAGGCTTTCACGGCCATCGTTCATCATATCATTGTCTTTACGACTGTTAAAAATCGCCACAAATTGCTGAAATATTTATATACATGTGTGTTAAAACTAGTAATCGGTTTCTGCAACTGCAAAGATTAGACGATTTCGCCTTTTCAGTCATATGTACAGAGTCAAAAATCACGTTAACCATGAATAAGCATTTTTTTATACTAGGATAATATGATTGATAAATGTTCTTACATCATTCATATAATGTAATATAAACATTATGGAAAAAGAAAACAAAATATAAAACCTAATATAAAATGGAGCACAAATATGTTAATATTATATATATACCAAGTCTTCGATTCGAATGCTAAACTCCCAATATGACGTAGGTATTAGATAGCTTCTAAATCCTACAAATTTACAAAAACAACAATTTTAAAAGCAAAGCATAACGTAAAAATGTAAATGTCTATTTTCTTCTTAATGGTATGGCCAACGACAGAGATCGTAATTTATGCAACTTAATTATAATATTTTAACAATAGAACAGACCAATTAAATAGTACAAAAATGTTTCACAAGATGGCGTTGACGACGTGACCGTATTCTGTTTAGTTTATAGCGCCGCTGCGCTAGTGTATCGATTTTACGTTTACAGCTCAGTGTGAACATGCGTAAAAATTCTTAAAGTTAAAAATATAAATACCAGTTGTAGCGGCAAATAAAAACATTAATAAGATTCCAGATAATATATTAAAGGAATTGATGTGTTTAGAAATATTTTTTATTGCCTAAAACATGAGTAAAATCGCTTTTAAGATAATCGTGTTGAGCGCGCATTGTACTGGCAACCTCAAATATCTATGAGTTTGACCCCGAAGCTCGTGTCCGAAGCAGAAGGAGAGTGCAGTGGAGGGCTAGGCCCTTGGTTTTCGGTTTTTACTTCGGTATAACGCGAAAAATGAACACATCATAGGTAAATAACCCAACGAAATCCCTACCGTACGTTTTATGAAATCCTGCAAATAATTTACAAAATTTATTCCTACTTATTAAAAATACATCGTGAGCTCGTACTGCTAAGAATACCGTCGAAAGTTGCGCACCGATCGACTTATAACAATTTTCATTTTTACATTCGCTTATCATAATTTCAATTATTTCGGGATTTCCTAAACGCTGTGAACAAAATTATTTTCGTTTCGCATTGTACAATAGAAGGTAATGTCCTCGAAATTTTGTGAATGTGTTGAGACAATGGTGTATCGATTATTTTGCGCTATTCACTATCGAAATGTCATCCCAGTGCCGTAATGTTAATATTAGAAGTCTATGTTTGTGATAACTTGTCTAGGCATCAAAGCGATTTATATTCGGCTTTGCAGCTAGTCGACTTGAGTGTCTAAATTAGTGAGTGCTGTTGAATTGAAACCATATTTCGGCTTCACGGGGATCCAGTTATAATTTACTACGAGATTATTTTAAAGTGAATTGATAATTTAAATAGTTTACTATTCATATGAGATAAAAATAAACTACTGTTACGAATTGTGATAGTGTTGGAAATAGTTGTTAAAATATTGATTATTATTTCAAAAATGGAATTTAACTTATAATAGCCTACACACCAACACGCATAATGAAAAAATTACGTTCACTGTTATGTTGGATTAAACTGTGTCATTTTCCTGTTCAATGCATTTGTTTTATTACATTTTCTCAAGCATAAGATGTAGGTACAAGGTAGTTGTAGGTGGATTATTTATTGATTTGAACTTCTTTTGAGCAAAATATTATTAATGAAGACTTCTTTTGTTCCAGTCAGAAGAAAGAAGTCAAGATTATTCAGAATACAATTTCAAAAAATCACCTCATATCAAACAAGCCAAAATGGCCAATCCAAATCGAGAAAATGTCAGCACACGTTTCTCAGACAATTATGAACTGAAAGAAGAATTGGGAAAAGGTGCTTTTTCAATTGTACGTCGGGCGGTACAGAAATCCACCGGGTATGAATTTGCTGCTAAAATTATAAATACTAAAAAGTTATCAGCAAGAGACTTTCAAAAACTGGAAAGGGAAGCGAGAATTTGTAGAAAATTACAACATCCTAACATTGTCAGACTACATGATTCTATTCAAGAAGAGCACTTCCACTACCTGGTTTTTGACTTGGTGACCGGTGGTGAATTATTTGAAGACATTGTAGCCCGAGAGTTTTATTCTGAAGCCGATGCATCACATTGTATCCAGCAGATTTTAGAATCTGTACATCACTGTCATCATAATGGTGTAGTACACAGAGATTTAAAACCAGAAAATCTTCTACTGGCTAGTAAAGTGAAGGGGGCTGCTGTAAAGTTAGCTGATTTTGGATTAGCTATTGAAGTGCAAGGTGATCAACAGGCATGGTTTGGATTCGCAGGTACGCCAGGATATTTATCTCCCGAAGTTTTGAAAAAGGAACCGTATGGAAAACCAGTCGATATTTGGGCGTGTGGAGTAATTTTATACATATTACTAGTAGGGTATCCCCCCTTTTGGGACGAAGATCAACATCGGTTATATGGACAAATTAAAGCTGGTGCTTATGATTATCCATCTCCAGAATGGGATACGGTGACTCCTGAAGCTAAAAGTCTTATAAACCAAATGTTGACTGTAAATCCTAGCAAGAGAATTACTGCCTCGGAGGCATTAAAACACCCCTGGATTTGCCACAGGGAGCGTGTTGCATCGGTTATGCACAGGCAGGAAACTGTCGACTGCTTGAAGAAGTTCAATGCTCGCCGTAAACTTAAAGGTGCCATTTTGACTACCATGTTAGCGACACGCAATTTTTCTGGAAAATCAATGGTTAACAAGAAAGGCGACGGCTCACAGGTTAAAGAGTCAACAGACAGCAGCACAACATTAGAAGATGATGATCTCGACAAAGACAAGAAAGGTGTCGATCGAGCGTGTACAGTTATATCAAAGGAACACGATGAAGATGGCCTCACAAAAGCGGACTCGTTTGGAAAAGCGCGTGGCGACAGCAATGCCTCAATGCGTCGAGCTGAGGTCATCAAAGCAACTGAAGTACTCTTAGACGCCATCAACAACGGTGACTATGAGACGTATTCTAAACTATGTGATCCCCACGTCACCTCCTTCGACCCAGATTCTCTCGGGAATTTAATAGAGGGTGTCGAATTCCATAAATTTTTCATAGATAACACTCCCACGAATATCAAAACCAATACGACAATCCTGAATCCACGAGTGCACCTTCTCGGCGAAGACGTAGCCATAATAGCGTATATTTGTGTTACACAGAGCGTAGACTCTGAAGGTAGGCGTGCAACTCATCAGCACCAAGAAACTCGAATCTGGCACAAGCGCTATAATAAATGGAGTGCGGTGCATTTTCACCGGTCCTAACTAGTTCCATCTGATAATCACTCTAATATGCCAAAGGATAGCTGTCCACAAAAAATATCTCTTTGCAATGGGGATCTTATAACTACAGTTGTAACATTTCATGACTAACTACTATCTATCCAATGGCAGAGTGATAAAAACTAATGATATCCAATTCTGCTAAAACATCACGAATTTTATTCAAGTTCTTTATATTCTCAAAAAAATTTAAGTTTTTAATAATAATAATAATAGTAAATAAAGGTGATGAGCATTTTTAAGAAATTTAAGCAGTTCTGATGCTATATTTCCTACTTTATTATAATCCAATCCCAAAGAAATGTGGCTATATGGTGCACTCGGATATCCAATGCTTATTGCTAGGTTGTAGTGAGTATATAGAAGTTGTGATCTCAGCCACAATCGAAGATGTCAACGAATAAAGAAATAAGATTCTGTATAATCTCAAGTGAAACATCAGATCTGACAAACGTTAACCATAACTGAGTACCTATCTTTACAAATCGAGAATATTTTGAAAATTAAGTATAAATAGCACATTTCTCTATTATAAGTCTCTCTACAATTTTAAACTATGAATGTTTCGTCGTGCTTAAAAATGGTGTTCTATTTGTTATTGAATACCTAGTTACTAATACATAAGGTCATGAAAGCAGTTATTGGCACTACCCATCCAGCACTGATAAACTAACTTGTGGTAGTTATAATACTATTTTAAATATAATGTATACTTAAATAACTTCCTTTTAACACTAGTTTAGCTAGTACGCATTCATAGTTGTTATCTTTTTAAGTGATTATATCAATTTGTCAATTTTAGATTTAATATTGCTTGTGAATTTTTTATAATCTTTCTTATACATTGCTTTTTCCTGCGATCACATTGGCGTTTTCATATGTTATTTATATCAGTTCTATGTTGTATTATCAACTACATGCCTAGCTTATAGGTAGTAAAAATATTCTTAAGTAAAACTCGTGCAATGTTCTGGACTGCTTAGGAAACTTACAACTGTAATGAAATGGAGCTTGTTAACAAAGGTGATATTAATGTAATATTTTGTGATTGAGATATATTGCACAGTTTTACTAATAGAATGTGCTATAAACTATAAGTCTGCAAAACACACTTATTCCTAGAAAACTAAATTAGATATAAATATTTAAACACATTTTTACGGTTTTGTAAAATAATTTAGTATAGTTAGTGAGACCTTCTTTATTAATGACTTTAACAAAAATTGGAATTGTATCTATAGTGCTACTCGCAACCTAGATAAATGTATGGTGATAATTTAATTGTATTCAGAGTATAGTTGTGCCATTTACCATTGACTTTAGTGCCAATAACTGTAAGTATTAAAATATATTCTAGTCTTTACTACTATAACAAATGTTTAGTATTTAATCAATGTTTTTAATTAATTTTTAAATTATACAATATAGGGGACTAAATATACCTTCGGAATGGATATTAAAGACATACAGTGGAGGTATCACTTTCATCCTCTGCTGAACATGTTCAATTTCCACATAGGCTTATGAAACTGAACTTGTCTTGCACATTGTCTGGGGTATAAGTCTGCTAATTTATCTTGCATGCCATTCCAGACTCACGACAACCACCTGGCAGGGCCGTACAAGGGATTTCAATTGAATGCTGTCTATTTGTACAAATACATAGAACTTGTTGGGCATTGTTAAGTCATTGATTTGCGTTGATTCGCAAAAGCCTGTGTCAGCAATTGTCATGTTTGTAAATTAGCAGACTCTGGGACCCTGTCTGAGAGTTTTGATATTTCTTTGTACATGTTATTTTATGACACCAAGTTATTTTTATGATTTGTTTGTTACTTAGATTAATATATTTCTGTTACTGTTTGTGCTTTCCCGGTATCTATTGATAACATGCGTAATCATTTAAACTTGCTTTAAATTCCTCTCATGCTGATTATGTGACATCACATCGTTTTACTTTAGTAGACCTTAATATATTATGGAATAAAAGATTAAGACGTGAAACAATCCTTTGTACCTAGTAATTGTTACCAGTACTTTAATTATGTTCCAAGTAAATACATATAACTTGTTACTTGCTTTCAAATAGTTACCTATCTACAGTTTATTATAAATTATTTCATATCCATATAATATTGTTAAAGAGTGTTCTATGATACTAACTACGTACTTAGATGTAAATAAATATTATATTAAATTGAAATCACATGTGCAATAAATTAGTTATTAATTATTTAAAAAATGTTACCTGATGAGAGGAACATTGAATTTCATAGCTAGACGACCCAAAACACTGCTCATGAATTGTGTTTTTTTTATAACAATTGCACAAATGCGATGACTTTACCATGGTTTTATGTTTTTTAGAATATGAATTTAATGAATTTCCTTTGTGAACTCAGTTTTCAAGTGAAATTATAGTGTAAAGGCTCTATAACCTGCACATTTTCTTATTGCACTTTCCATCTAATGTTTAAGATGGTTTACGGATTATTAAAACCTTTAGCTGCAGTAATTTTCTCATTATCTAAATCATGCTTTTAATTGATATTATCTGTTTTTAACTGTTGTAATGCGTATTCACAATATTTATTAATGTTATAGCATCCCCCAATGTATTCATACCTAATCACTTGTTAAAAACTGTGTTATAATAAACACTGATTAATTGATGCCAGTCAATGGTGCCGGTTCAATAGAAAAATAAGAATCTTAATATATAAACTTGTGTTAAAAATTTATCAAGAATACTAGCTAAATGGTGTATTATCAGATTATTTAAATTTTTTGCGTGTAATATTAATTTGTACTTAATTAAATAATGTTTGTAAGTGCTTAACGCCTAGTTATGGACGATTGTTTTACTATTTAATATCTAGGATTTAACCAAAGTGTTTCATTCTTATATATGCACCTCAAGATGATTTAAGATTTTACTAATTATAATCAAAGTGGCTAAGTTGTTTGTAGCATAATTAAAAATGTGAAAGTGTAGGTGTATTGAATATTTGTCAGTATATTTCTATTCAAAATAATTTCATAAACCTCTGCATTGCCGATTATAATGTAACATTCTCTAAATAAAGTTCTTTTGATCTACTATGTTCTAGATTTATTTTAAAACTCATATCCTAAACTATTGAACAGATAAACTAACCACAACTTTATACTACCCAGTCTAACATTTTTATAAGCTTAATAACTTGAATTAAGTAATTGGTCTATTATAGTAAAAAGTACATAAATAAAACAACTGTCTACTTGTAGGAACTGAATTTATTGATTTACACCCTCATTCTATTATTCAAATACTTAATTTTCTGGTGCACACCTTTACAACCATCCTGTTTGACATCAAAGTTTTTGGATATTTTTTCAAATATGTTTGGGTCGATTTCCTGTCCCATTTCATATTCGATACATTTCTTCAAGATATTATGATCAAGTTGATTGAATTCTACGTAATGTTTTGAAACATTAATATCACTCAAATTCTGCCTTAATTGACTCTCAAATGAACTTAAACATTGAAACGGAAACTTTATATCATCAGGAATGCAATTATAAATAAGTATTATTGTCAGATTTCTGTCTAAATAATCACTTTTGTTTATCAAAATTGTTAATATCGTCTTAATTTTAAGAATGTCATTGTTTTTAAGATCATCAACTACTAAATAAGATGATTTGCACCAAGTCAGGCCTAGTAAAATATCTGAGGTGATAGCGTCAGCAAATGTTGGCATTGTATAATGGTAAATGTTGGAAGCTTGCTGGTCCCTGAGTAGTATAGTACCTGCTAACGTCTTACCAACACCAGTGGAGCCAAACATAATTAAAACTTTAATTCTCTCTTTACTGTCAAGTGTTTTAATTATTTTTGATATTGCAGTTTCTTGTCCATGTATTCTTTGTAATAAACTGATTCTTAACATTTCTGTGTCTATGTTATCATTACAGCTAACATTTACTTTAAAATGGTAAACAAGTATGGATATTGACAGCACCATCATACCCAAGGCATACAAAAGATTATTATATCTTTTGGATTTTATTTGTCTTGAATGCAAGTCTACTATTAACTTTTTATACTTTGGTGCTTTTGGTGAGTGTACAGTTGGTTGATGATTTTCTTGCTTTATTAAACTTTTATCTTCATTGTACGATATTTCCATAGCATTAGTTGAGTTAAAACTCATGTCTACATCCATGGGCTCGTTGCTCAGATTACAATCCATCTTGATTCCCCTTGTTGGTTTTATAATTATAATTAAGGTCAACTTATAAGGTACATCATAACTTTCAAAGGCGATAAGATTATCAATATAATTATTAAATTAAATCTTAGCAAGATTTTCTGAAGTATTTCACTTTTCACTTTAACATTGTTAATAGGAACATAAAAAAATAAAGAGAATATTTTTGTAGTTTTTTGAAAAACTTAAATTCTATTCAAAATAATAACCGACTGTCGGCTACATATGCAACACACATATTCGTTATATTTTAAGTCTGTGGTATCGTGCATCTATCTGTGGTTAGGTATTTAGCTAAGCACAGATAACTTTTGTTACTAATTTGTTCTCGTTGCATCTTCTACTGTGTAAAGCAATCTGTGCCAGTGATCAAGTTAATATCAAACTTCAAAAGTGCATATTTACCGTAAATTCAAATTTTAAAATTAAAACAGGTAGCTGGTACGTTAATTCCAGGCTACCACTTTTTATAAATTAATTTGTTTAATATGAGTGAAAATAAAAATGAAGAAGCAAGCACCTCAAACAATAAGTTTACACCAAAGAAGAAAATCCGTAATCCCTTTGACAAAATGCTTGTTGAAAGACTGCATCAACCGTTAAGCAGGTACGTATTTATCAACAAAAATACGGTTTCTAGCTATTTTGCATTTTCATATTATATTTATTTCGCTTAAATTTATATGTATTTTAAACGTTTATATGTATTTTAGCCCTGGCATGTGTAAGATATACAAAAACAAAACGAAGGGACCATTTAATTGGGATATTGAACACGCGAGCACCTTAGTACCGGCTGATATTATTGTATGCAATAGTCAGTATGAAGCATCTCCTGATCCCATCCTCGAGAAGATTGCGGAAGAAGCTTCAGAGAAGTATTTATTTTTCATTTGTCAATTTAATTATTAAGTTGTTAAAATAGATGTTCACTCCTAGACAACTTCAACTATAAGAATGATATTTGCTGTTGCTGTAGACTTCATAGAATGAACTCAACTAATAATAATTTGGTAGTTTAGGTTTAAAGTACCAAATTATTATTATTTTTTTATATCAATCTAGTAAATATCTAATATTCATTTTAAATGTCAATAAATATGAGAATCTATTAAATACGAAATATTATGATCAATGTTTGTGCCTACATACAGGTTGCAGAGATATAATTTACAGTACATATACTGCAAATTTATAACCAATTTTCAGTACTACAGCATCAGCAGCTCTTGTCAGTATGCTTATCCTATTTTCTTATGTATTTATGTCATATTATCAAAGTTACTTTTAACTTTTTTATTTTAGTTTATTTAAGACAAAACCATCACTTTAAAATATGCTATTCTTTATGTCTGGTTTAAATACAGTGGCAAAAAAATATCCAATGGAGTCCCGATAAAATAGGGGTTTTAGTTTACACAATTTCAATCATTTCAAGCTTAAAAATATATAACAGCACATTAATAAGTCTTCCTATGGATGTACATATGCTAACTACATGTTTTATTTAATTTCAGATTCTTTTCACAAGAACTAGTTGTACCAAGTCCTATGGAGTCATCAAAGAAACCATCAAAAGCATTGACAGCTAAATCATCTTCTGATTCAAGTTTACAAGAGTGCAGTCTCCTAAAAAAGATAAAGTTTGTGAGAAACAGTAAGTAAACATCCCCTATATAGTGAGAATGTTTTTGATCGTTTATTTATTATATTTAAAAGTATTTTTCTCTTTTAACATTCAAATGTTTTTTAATGTTAGTCCTTATCATCTTATTATGAATACATCACTCAAATATACATAATTTTACACTATTTCCAAAGACAATAAAAATAAAACACTTTCAATGGCTAGAAATGCGAATTATCTTTTTAGCATAAAATCTTCTAAATGAATGTGTATCAAATTACTAGAAATGTACTGCAATTATTTTTTCTACGTCAGTCCTAAATGGGTCCCTCGTTTGAATTTTCCATAAGGGCATTTTTTAAATCTAATACCAGCTATTTATAAATTTCATACTGTTATTATTACGGTATTTATATTGAAAATAAATAAATTTCAGCATCTGCACAAACTACACTAACACTGCCACCAGTGTTGCCGCCAGAATTGGAGAAAATGTTACAGCCTTTCTGCACTTATTCTCAGGTATAATTTTACATTTACTGGGTATGGGGTATGTAGTCAATATAACATTTAATTTACAGCCTCTTTTTCTCTCTCTGGCAGATTAAGCATCTGAAGCAAATCAGACTCTTAGTAAATTCAGTTGGACCTCCTTAATGTTATGTCATAGTAATAAAAAATATAACTAATATTTTCAAAAATAAATAAAAAATAAATTGTTCACTTGTGTGTAAGCAAAAGTAATGAAACACTTGATGTATTTTACAATAGCTTCTGAGCTATGGTATTAATACGATTATCAGCTGTGTCCATCTTGCCTTCTCTACACTTTTACGACACATTATATAAGACAGAAAGACAAATCCTCGAATCGTAGACAACTAATGACATATGCAGTAATGTGTAAATCATATATTTACTTTATTTTTGTAATTTTTTGGATTCTAGGAGGAAGCCATATTTGATGACTGCGAGATCACAGCGAACGGTTCGATTCGTGTCCAGACGCACTTCATTCACAGTGACCACAGTGATCATTATGATTCAGAGCAGACGGATGACGAGATTCAAGTGGAGAAACGATCTCCGTCTAGTTTTGGAGAGCATATTCCTGTTCAGTTTAGTCCCGATTTGGTAGGTTTACATTTAAAGTGTTAAGTTCATGCTGTTAAAAAAAATTGTGCAATTTTTTGTAATGAGGAAAAAATTTCTCGCCAGGATTGAATTACATCGTGATTTTATAACAGGGAGAATAAACGATATAAATTGTTATGTTTGTGTATGATAGCACAAATGAATTTTGTACCATTTACCCATGAAATGAACAAGCAATAAATTTACAAATATATACAATTGAAAATTAAATATATAATATATTGAGATATTTTAAATTTTTTTCCAGAGTAATAATCTAGTTTCAAAGGGAATGAAGCGTACTTTTGGTACTCCAGTGCAAAATAACCAATCACAAAAGCCACTCAAAAATAAAATTTTAAATTTAGCTGATTACGAACCGTGTTTGAGTCCTATACAGTTTGACACGCCGAAGAAAAAAGAAGGCTTTTGTGCTATGTCACCTCTAGTTGTAGCTGTGTCTCCAGTGAAATCCAGCGATGAAGAGGTATCTTTGAAACTTTCTTTATAATTTATTATTGCTGTTTGTTCAGTAGTTAAGACCAACAATGTTAGAAACTATGCGTTAATATCTATAACATAATATTAAGTGACTTATAATCATGTTTTGACATACATGTTCAATTTAAGTCTACAAAAATCCAAAACAAACCCATCTTTTAATATGCTATTTAAATAAAACAATTTTACCAAAATAAGGTGCATAATATATTTGCCATGTATACTTACTGAATTTTTTTTTTATAACAGAAGGTCAGACAAGCATTAGGTTCACGATTAAGGGCGCACGCGCAATACGCCTGCCTGATAACATGCCAAGATGCCCTGTCAATCTATTTCAGCTTCAGACATTCGGAATCTGTTTTAGCCTTCTTTTAATACCATCTTTTCTTCTAGAAAATGAACTACGCCACTCCTGACTCAAAAATGGCTACCTGTTTAGATTGCGTTAATTCACAACCAAATCGAGGAAAGAGTGGAGTGTGCTTCTGCGATACAACACCAAATAAGTCAATATTGAGACGAAGTACATCACTGAAGGACTCGCCTTACAAGAGTATGAAAAGTTCTCTTTCTGGGAAACGAAGCTTGAGCATGTCCAGTCTTAACAGAAGCAAATCGGTGCAGAAGCTCGACTTTAGCATGGATATGAGTGTGGACGGATCTTTTCATAATATTTCGCAAGGTATGTGTCTCAAGGGCTAAGTCATTCTTAGATAGATGCAGAATCATTATCATAAATTTATACTATTATAGTAAAAAAAGTTTAATTTTGTATTATATTTTCATCATGATACTATGTGACTGTTCACTTGTTGCTGTTATTGTCTTATGGTATGTTATAAATTACATTTAAGAAACAGATTTTTTTTCAGTAAAATCTTATAACAATATACTTTCTATTAACATTGAATAATCACAATTTTATATTCACTAATTCTATAACAAAGTATTGTGTTCAGTCCTTGAATTTTGTTATTATATATTTCACTTCTTAACCTTTGAACCAGGCAGATATTTTATTCTATTTTTTACATAACTATTTGTGAGGAAAAATGTTAATATCTAGTCAATATTGAATAATAATCTTAACTAATATTAAATCGTGTTTCCGTAGGATCAGAAGCCAATACGCCAGAAAGAAAGCACGTGACTTGGTCCGTAGTGGAGCAGAACAAACAGTTACCAAACTTGGATTCCTTCCGGGAATCACGTGATATTCAGTCTTCCACTAGAATAAACGTAAACTTATTTGACGAAACGCCAATAAAGGGGAAACGAAGAACTAACGTTGCGCATGAAATTAGTAAAATTCGCGATTCAAGCGCACTCAGCCCGCTCAACATGTCCCTCGATAATAGCTTAGATAACTTCGATATACCACTGAGTATGGAGGAGAAGAAGATAGACTTCAATACAGTAAATCTCAAGTTCCTAACTGAAAGTGTGAGTGAGAGAAGTGATGTGACTATAACCGGTGAATGTTCGAGCTTCAAGCGAGTGGATAGCGGATTCAATGAGTTCTACGCGTCTAGTTATTACGAAAGTGCGATAAAACCGTCGGAACTGACGATTTCGAATTCAAAGGGCAAAGCCCTAAAGGAGATATCCAACGTGAATTGGATGAGGGTAGACAGCGGCTTCAAAGATGAAACGTCCTCAGATAGCCAGTTCTACCCGAATGAGAGTAAGCAGGTCGGTTTTTCTAATAAAGATAAGGAGAACATATGTATTGATAATGATATAATACCAGCTCCAAGAAGAAACGATACCATGTCTATATCAGATTACTTTAACGAAGACCTGACTTTTACCTGCAACTTTTCATCGACGCCATCGAAGAGCAAACGTAAAATTCCTAGTGATGGGTTTTAGGTAAATATACAATACTCTTGTTAGGGTCGGATCTAGGACGCCCAGGAAACCTAGAGAAATATTCAATTGTATCAGGGCATAGAACTTGACTTTAAACACATAGACAAAAAAATTTAACACATTGATACTTCATGTAGTGGATACAAACCATTATTTTTGAATCCAGGCCATCTGGATGTGGTTCACAGTAAATTAAATCAACTACTAAGCCCCTCTCTAGGACTTGATCTGCCCTTGAATTTAGTATGATTTACTGTCTGCAGTTTACGCGAGTAGTACACATTTCAATAAAACACTTTTACGGTTTAAAACGCGAAATATTTTAGTTAAACTTCTTTGAGAATTATTTTTAACAACGGCCCGACGTCTCCCCGTGACCACGGCTGCTGTTTTATTTAAGTTAGTATGATTTTTTTATTAGGACTTAATTATTAGTAGTGTGCTTAGTGAAATTTTAAATCTGCATTTGCTGATATAGAACTCAACGACCTTTACATAATTTATAACTGTCTGGGCTAAAATTATAAATAACAAATTGTCCAGTTTAGTTAGCGGAATGAGTTAATATTTATCGCCAGTATTATCTAGTGACATCGAGAGATATATTTTGAGTGTTTAAATATTTTTGACAAAATTACCGTGTAGGTACAGAGTGGCAAACTTTTTTATTTAAAGAAGACATGCAGGCACAGTAATCTGTTGCAACATGCTCTGCAGAAATTTTGTATCTGTAGTTTAGGTAGGCAATTAGTAGGCGTTTTTTTGTGTATTCCCTCTAGTTTATTTTTTTATGACTAACAAACAATTCCGTTTTTGGATTGTTAATGAATTTGTTAGATGTATATTTGCTTTATATTAGTGGCAGTTCTATTGTGCAAAAACTAAACATCATGTCTCTAATGAAGTCTAATTACTTTCATAAATTAGAAATTAATTATAATGGCAACACTTAGGTTTAATTTTTGTGGAACAGAATTGCTACTGTTTTCCGTTTTGATGTGTGTTGTATTAATTTAAATGATTTTTAAAATTAAGACTGATAGACGAACTGATACAAAAATGTGTTGAAAGTTCAATGTGCATTTAGATATTTTCTATTAAATTAAATTAATAAAAGTCTAGTTATTTTTATAGCGTTAAGTTGTCGGTTATTGTCGTTTAAGCCACACTGGAGCTTCTGTTAGGTATAATTTAATACAAGTGAATAAGTTATTAGGATAACATAAAAGAAAATTGTTATTTTTTTTAATTACCCCAAAGTGGTTTTGGACTTTATTCTATGTTTATATCGAGTATATAGAGGTGAAGAAATTACGTCTTTCTTGTCAATCAATCAATCATGTTTTTCCTGAAACGACGTGTGCTTTGAGCTTAAATTATAAACAGAAAAATTGCTAATTATCGCAACGATATCTGAAGGCAAAGTCCAATATAGTTTGTTTTGCATATATTACGTATTATCTTTACCGTGGGTTTAAGATTAATTAAATTAGGCGTGTTTCAAAGTAAAACATCTCAGAAAATAATGTTGTATTATTAATCATCGCTTGTTGCTACGCAAAATTCTTTAACACCTGTCTTTTTAAATAATAAATGATTGTTACAAGAAAAAATTTAAAATTAATCTGCAACACTGGATTCTGTATAACTTTTAAATAAATATTTACGTCCATTTATAATATAACAACAAAAAATTAAATAATTATGAATTATTTTTTTAATGTATCTTATATCTGTTATATATTGTATTGGTATTGGTATAAATTGATTTTAACTTTAACATCTACAGCGATCAACCTTACTGCTAGCTATTTTTAATAGATAAAAAGCCAAATTGCCGCAATAAAATGTGAAAATATTATATTTCAGACTACATAAAACTTCATTACATTTCAGTGAAGAAAATCACTGAAATAAGAGGAATGACATGACTTTCCTCCTATTTTACACACCTACTGATTGGTTCGCTTAAATCAATCGGCGAGTAGCATCAGATTGACTCACACGCGCACAAAACATAAAAATTAATTAGCCGCTTCATAAACTGCGCCTGCGTGCGTCAATCGTTTTTAACAAACAACATATTGATAACGCTGTAACCTCTATTATCAGCGTATCCCGGAACGTCTGCGAACTAGAAGCAATACGGATCTATTAGGTAACGTAGTCGGGTCCGTTGCATTTATGTTTCTGTATATACGTATATAAACAAGCGGCGTCTTAACACTATTTCATTTCGCTGACACTCGCACAATTAACTGGATCGCCGATCGTATTTTATTTTCACACGTGCGTATGCGCAGACGCGTGATTTTTTGACACAATGAACAGGACAAGTGCGACACTGATGCTGCAGACCATTATGGTGTTGATGGAAAAGCAGAATACCACAGATGTCACACACTACCCGAGCACCTTTTATGGTTAGTGATTTATGATAATTTGCATGACGCGCTCGATAATTAGACGGTATGAAATTACACTGTATGCATACGAATAGACAATTTATCGTATTGGGCAACGATACGAATATGACTCAGTCCTCAGAATAAGGAAGAAATTTTGATTTTTTAGTATTATCTATGGATGTGGGAAATTACAGCTTTTATTATAAGGACGAATCAAATTGAGAACGTTATTTTTTAAGTCTGTAAAAAGTTAAAAGATTAGTTAAACATCATGTAAATGACGGATTAATGTTGCTTATAATAATATCCATACATTTTTTTATGAAGCTTCAATAAAATATTGCAATTTTTTTTCAGAAGAAGAGATTGAGCGCTGCTATGAACCTTATGGATGTTTCTCGAAAGCCTATCCATGGACGGAACATCGGCCAGACAATAACTTTCCAATTTCTCCGGAGGCTTTGGGCGTCAGGTAATTTTCTATTGTTCAAGTAGCAACTGTCACTCCAAATGTCTTCTTACTTTACTTTGAACGAAGATTAAATGCCATAAAATATATTTAGCTATTCCGATCTCCACTTTACTTTTTACTAAACATTTGAATAAAGCCTACTGCTTTTTTTGAGAACTTAGTAAATATTATAAAGATATCCTTAATGTACGACGTTATATCCTGAAATGTTCCTTTCAATCCTTTACTAGTAAAGGACGCAGCTTGGTTTACCATTTAAAGTTTAAAAATTTGTAAAAAACTAGACCTGTAATAAAAAAAAAAACAGAAATTAAACGGTTCGTTAAAATTTTAATAATTTCGATGTATAAAAAATTATTTAGTTGTAAGGCTATACTTAGACGTATTTTTTTGTACTAGAATATTTATCTCATTAGCTTCCATAAAATCGGCTAATTAAATTCTCTAATCGTCTGATCTTGGGAGTGTTGAAACTCCATTGTAATCATTTGTTTTCGATCTATAAAAATGTTAGTGTGTGTTGTTCCCTATTGAACAAACCAGATCCTGAAATAAGCTCGATCGAGTCGTTTATTTCTTTCAATGATTCGCTCGTACGTTGACTGTGTCGTTGAACAGTGAGTCAAGGAAAACCTATAATCTGAGCTACAGTTCGATTCAGCAGTTCAGAGTTACAGTTAGTCTAAGTTAAAGTCAAAATCCATTGTTTCACGTAGATCTAAGATATATAAGATAAGTAACTAAGGTCAGAAACACAATTTGAGCCAAAGCGACGAAGGTTGACCACCCAATTAAACGGGTGGATCGAAACAGGTCTTTAAATAAGAACGACCTAATGGTAAATACTGTATATAGTTTACGCGAGTAGTACACATTTAATAAAACACTTTAGCGGATTGAAACGCGATATATTAGTTAAACTTATTTGAAAATAATTTTTAACTTGGGCCCGACGTTTCAGATGTTTTGCAGCAACTGTCTCCCCGTGACCTGTTGCAAAGCATCCGAAACGTCGGGCCGAAGTTAAAAATCATTTTCAAATAAGTTTAACTAATATATCGCGTTTTAAACCGTTAAAGTGTTTTATTTAAACGATCTAATGCTTCTAAATGATTCGATCGATTGAACGGTTCGAACAAACCAGATCATTATCTCAATGGGTCAATTGATTCGAGTTTTGCGACTGATCGAACAATGTTTATTGAAAATTGACACTAGCAACTTGAGCGTAATTTATTGCGCTTATCTCAGATCAGAGTCCAGACTTATACTTGCCTTGTCTCGAATTACAATATTATCATAGGCACCGTCTGGTGGACACCGCCCACCGTTTGTACTCGATGAACTCTATCGAATATTTTGGAAGATACCGTGTATACCAGATGCCCACAGAGTGATAAGAATATTTAGAACTGACACAGTTATATTTTTTAATAAATACGTTATTTTCAACGTGTAGGTAGAATATTTGGAACTAACGTGGGCGGCCAACATGTTTGTACTTTTCCAAAACATTTAGAGAAGTGTATGTATCAATAGGTTGATAAAATCCAACCATGATGTAGGACACGGCTGCTCAATTGGTTAGCCGTTAGAGCAACAGCGCGAACCTAGGTACAAGTCCCGTCCGTGTCGTAAATTTTATCACCGTCCGATTTTTAATAATGCCATTATGTACAATAATATGTAAAAAAAGTGTTCAAACGTTATATAATTAGAAATATCGAAATTCACTAACCAGCGTACTGGTGATTCTAAAAGTTACTCATAACTTGTTAGAACTATATCACATGAAAATCATAAAATCAGTCACATTATAGTCAGCCTGACATAATGTAACAATGGTGACCTTTGAAATGATGATTGTTCGTTACTCTCTTACACCAAACCAGATTCACCGAGTTAGAACAAATACACGGCTGACATTCGGTACAATTGTCAGTGCATTACATATATGAAAGTAAACATTCAAAGGGCTAAGATATATAACCATTCTAAATATCGTCTGTAGTTTACGCGAGTAGTACACATTAAAAAAAATACTTTAACGGGTCAAAAGGCGATATGTATTAGTCAAACTTATTTGAAAATTATTTTAACTACGTCCCGACGTTTCCGATGCTTTGCAGCAGCCGTGGTCACAGGGAGATTAATGATTGAGGGTATCACTGACGTTTAAGTAACTCATATCACGTTTTAAACCGTTAAAGTGTCTTATTTAATATAACCATTATTTCTAATCTGTTCTGGACAAACGAAAGAATTATAAGCCAAGCCCCCCCCACGAACTATTGACCTGAACTATATTTTTTTTCCTAGTACCCCCGCGTTATCACTGTTCTTCGTATCACAACTGATAAGCACTGGGGGCTCGTCCGTGACATCGATCTATCATTATGGAGACTAAACAAATATTTACGTTCCTTAATTGCATCGTGACGCGTCGTTATGATAAATGTACTGTACTTTGCTCGATATGAAAATTGACATTTGATCTACTGCAGGCGGGTGCGGTTATTTCTAGAAACCCCTTCGAAATGGAATGCAGACTAATTACTAACTATTACTTTGTTAGTAGCTTTTTTTGCGTTAAGTTGTATTTATGTAGAGGCACCAATAAACTACATTTGATATCGTATCTCATGTTGGTGTTAAATCGAATACAATATAACATATATATCTTGTACAAGCTGTGCCCTCGACATCGTCCGCGAATAGTTTTAGGCAACATATTGTGTTTTCACAAACAACCTCCTTCGCTTTATTTAGATCCTTTAAAGACACATGAAACAACACAGTCCACAGATGAAAAAGCCCTGAAGTTTAATCGCGTTTTGGTTTCAGTCTGTGGATTTCCGAATATTCAAAGCCAAAATATGTCTAGGTACAACTTATTTTCTTGAGATGTTATATGGCTCGGGGATCTCACTTACCATCTAGTGAAAACCATGCTTGTCTGGCATACTCTGTTATATCTAAACAGGACTTCTTTATATCCAGGTTTGCAGTGTTCACGAGACGAAATAGAAAAATCCCAGTGTTACTACAAGCTAAGGATGAAGAGAAAATACGAAATGCTAATATAGATCCTAGAGGGCCGTTTTATTTTATAACGCACGGATTTCTTGATGGAGGGCATAAAGTTTGGGTACGTCTTCTCTTATTGTTTTCGTTCGCTGTGTACTAAACATATGTCTCAGTAGTAATTAGCTGTTGTCTAGAATTGTGATTGCTTGATTCATACACCCAAATTAAAAATCGATATTAAATTGAAAAAAAATTACGATATGGACAGGACTTGAACCAGCGTCCATAGCTTACTGTGCTGTTGTTCTAACCAATTGAGTCATCGTCAATTTTTTTAAACATACATACTTTCAATGGTCTCAAAAAATTTTTTTTCATTTATATTATACGTAATACATGTGGATAATATTAAAATGTTCAAATCCCCAAAATTCATTTTCGACAGCTAAAGCACAAAAATGTGATAATACGTGAAACAGTCGTAGTCCTTGCGTATGCAATATGTAACTACATTGAAATAAAATATTTTGTGAGTTGCCATTTTTTAAAATAATAAACAAGATTTTTGGTACGGAACTCATCGTACGCGAGTACTGGCATTTAACAAGGTTTTAATTAAAAAAAAAAACAATCTTGGTCTATATTATCTATTCCTAATTACAGATACAGAACATAGCAGACGCGCTATTAAATTTAGAAGGTAACGATGCAGCAACAGTGACCATAGTGGATTGGCGACGAGGCTCGCAGCCACCATATGGTCAGGCTGTAGCTAATATTCGATTAGTGGGAGTCATCACTGCTCATCTAATGCATGCGTTTTATGTGAGTATCGATAAATTCACCATCTCATCATTATTGGTTTAGCCGTTTACAGCTTTCCTGGCAAACGTTCTTTTGTCATATAAAATATTTCGACCAAAAGTTGATTACCTCAAAAATGGTTCTTATAAGGTAATCTTAGAAGAACTAATACTGTCTCATACATTTTTAGATGGTAGAAGAATAATTATTTTCTAAATATATTTTCGCAGTACACGCAACGCAATTCCTCGACGATCCCTTTTATCCACACTTTTCTTTGTTTCTTTTCTACTATTGATCGCAGCTTGACAAGAAAGAATGAAGATAAAAGCTTGACTGTGTTTTAAAGCCTTCCTCTATAAATGGTCCAACCAACACTTTGAAACAAACAACAATTTTTCAATCTTGAATCAGTAGTTCCTGAAATTAGCGCGTTCAAACAAACTCTTGAGCATTATAATATTTCTATACATTAAATAAAATAATTATATTGTCAATATAATGTGCTATAGCCATTGTCCATGGTACATATCTTTTGAGACCCGTAAAGGTCGACGGTGTATCTTAACTGGATGCAATAAGGCGGTAGTATTTTTCCTTTCATCAAGCGTATCCCATGGTTGTCAGTAATGTGATAAAAAAAAAAACATGTGAACACAGCATAAATACATATCGACAATCTGAGACCACTTCTTGTAACTAAACTTGAAATATTAAATGGATGGCCTGGCTTGACAAACATTCATATTTCTTGTTACATACGTTGAAAGAATGTAATAATATTCTAAATACTGTCTATAGTTTACGCTAGTAGTACACATTTAAATAAAACACTTTAACGGTTTAAAACGCGATATATTAGATAAACTTATTTGAAAATGATTTTTAACTTCGGCCCGACGTTTCGGATGCTTTGCAGCAGCCGTCTCCGCCCCCCGGCGTTAACCCGCCTCCCCCCCCCTGCCACGACGACCATTTAAATAATATTCTAGGCTCTTCAAGAACCCCGTAATCAAGCGATTCTTATCTCATAAACGTTTCTACATTACAGAAGGAGCTAAATTTGCCGAACCTAAACAATTTTCATTTCATTGGTCACTCACTCGGTTCGCATTTGGCTGGTTATTGTGGACATGAATTGCAAAAAGTAAGTTAATATTTAAACTTTTATTTACTAACATTAAACTGGGACAACGAAAATACGTATTACATTACATATTAATTTTCTCTTTTAAGTTAACTAATTAAGTACACTAGAATAACTTATTTTTGATAATGACGTCACAAAATTTAAGTCCCCCTGTCCCATTTCATTTGAGTATTTTTAATACTAATAAATAGGTGATATAAACTTTTGTTTAATTTATTGTACTTCGATAGAACAGCTGCAATGGACTTCATGTGAGAATTATCCTCGAATTTAGTTATTACCAACGAATTACCTTTTCCTACCAGATTTTTGGCTTCAATAAAACTTTGAACGGTTTAAAATGTGAAATATATTAGTTGAACTTATTTTGTAAATGAGTCGAGGCGCCGCGTGTTTCGTAGTAATTGTTGGCACTACTATTATTGATGTAATCGAAAGAATGTACCACTAAATCAAATTTTTGGTTCCTTGCATAAAGCAAGGGGTTTTGATGGTGTTCCACATGGAATTGTCATGGCTTTAAACCACCGATAAGTCATTTTTTAGATATAATGTCGGACTTAATAATTAGCGAACAAAATAATGTTTTCTTAAGTTATCATTAATGTTAATTACAAAAATTAAACATCCGGGTTGTAAGGTCAGATACCAGTATTGTTTATTAATAAACCAATTGTTAAACATTGATTGGGGAAACACGTGCGTCAGAATTCTTTATCTCTTGTTTTGTTTATACCTTGATTAATGTATATTGAAAACAATCGTATTTTTTAATATTATATGACGATGATACACACACACACAAGTGTCCACAGACTTGACAAACACTTGTACAAATTTGAGCACACCCAACACTATGTTATTCTCACCTCTATTTAAAAAAAAGCATATATTATACATATCTTAACTTCAACAAGTTTAGAGGTACATACTTTCGATTACATCAATAATAGTAGTGCCAACAATTACTACGAAACACGCGGCGCCTCGACTCACTTAGAAAATAAGTTCAACTAATATATTTCCTGTTTTAAACCGTTAAAAGAGTTTTATTTAATATGTGCTTGCATAAACATCACTTCGCCAGATAAGTTATGTACTATACAATTTCTATCGCATTGCCCTGTAAAGGTAGAATTAGCTGTTATTAATAAATTGACGGCCTTGTACCATCATACCAACGGCCGTCAAGCTCGTACGCAGGTAGCAATGTACTAATAATCAACGGGTCGCGGATTCGATCCCCACTGGGTCCAAGATTTTTCTTATCAATTTATATCCTTTCTTAAACATGTTGCACTTCGTCTGGAAATCTGGATATTAAATGGGTAAGAATATCGAAACCCTGTCGGGTCACGAACCACCGTCCACGGAATGAAGCCGTGAAGTTTAATTTAAGCCATTTCAGTCTTTGGATTTCCGAATATCCAAAGCCAAAATAGGTCGACAGCGCATCTTGTTTAGAAGCTAAAGGCCGGGGTATTTCATCTATCATCAAGAAGAATGTTTGCTGTCCCCCTCTACCATTAAAATAATGTATCTTTCAGAAATTCAATCTTAAGCTCGGAAGGATTACTGGAATGGACCCGGCGGCGCCATATTTCAGTAACACGGTGACGCTAGTTCGGCTTGACCGTTCTGATGCTGAATACGTGGACATTATACATAGTAACGCCATGCCACTTTATTTTTCTGGTACGTATACAATCCATATAAATACTGCTATAATAAGTCCTTCGTTGGTCTAGGCAAAGTGTCAGTTTGAATTGGAATTCCTAGACAAGTCCAGAGTTAGGAAATAGGCCCCTTTATTAATAAGCCAAACGACGTACCCTTTAAGCTTACGCCCTATGAGAGTGTAGATGAGTCTTAACAATAAGTTAAAATTAATTTTTACTTGAGGTAAAAGACATTTTTGGCTGATATGTAGCAAGTACTTATTTAAATAAAACACGTTAACGGTTAAAAACGCGATATATATTAGTTAAACTAATTTGAAAATTATTTAACTTAGGGCCGACGTTTCGGATGCTTTGAAGGAGCCATGGTCACGGGGAGTCTGCCCTCGCGTTTTAAACTGTTACAGTGTTTTATTTAAATGTGTACTACTCGCGTAAATTACAAACAGCAAGTACTTTATCAGCTTTCTGTGTTCGAGATTCGAATATAGAACCCCTCTCGACTAATGCTACGTTACGTTAAACGCTAGAGATTTAAGGTTTAGATTGTTTTATTAACCATCTAAATATTATTGTTTTAACAATCTTTTGAAAATAAATCACATGTACATCATTACAGGGTTCGGTATGACAGAGTCGATCGGTCACGTGGATTTCTATCCCAACGGTGGGTCGACCCAGCCCGGCTGTAAGAATGAAGGTTCCGCTTACCAAGGTGGTGGTGACATGTACCAGTCTATCGTTAAGTATGTGGCCTGCAATCACGAGAGGAGTCACGACTTCTTTGTAGAAAGCATAGCTCCTACCTGTCCGTTTATGGCTATACAGTGTAGCTCTTACGAGGTAAATATTTTGTGGTAATAACTTTAAGTCGTCTCCTTACGTAACGCTTTATGTAAACAGCTTGTCAGACATTATGTCTGTGAGTCTTTATTATACTATTCTGAATAGTAATAAAAAATGCGTACATCAAATACTGTCTGTATGTCGTGAGTAGTACATTTAAATAAAACACTTTAACGGTTTAAAACGCGATATATTAGTTAAACCTATTTGATAATGTTTTTTAACTTCGGCCCGACGTTTCGGATGCTTTGCAGCAGCCGTGGTCACGGGGTGACTAAACATAGGGATGTTTCTGACGTTAAAGTAAAAAAATGCTACGCTAGCGTCATCTGTTCCGTCGAAGTTGGTCGGGTCCTTACAGAATTGACTAACGGTGTCTTCGCGTTTGCCGGTATGCTGTTTATTGGGATCCAGAGTTTTTAATATGGGATGTTTGATAATTTGATTAATTTTCAAATAAGTTTAACTAATATATCGCGCTTTAAACCGTTAAAGTGTTTTATTTAATTTCCTAATAATTTAACAAATATATATCGCGTATTAAACTCGTAAAGTGTTTTATTTTAAAATGTGTATATCGACAATCAAGCTATTATTATATATTCCTATCATAAAAAATACATTTTCAAGTTAATGTTTCACTAGAATTTATGGTTAAGGAGTTAGTCATGTTATGTTTAAAATCTTACCTTTTTATCCTCCCAGGCATTCCTGGATGGCAATTGTACAACTTGTGACAACAAGCACCTGTGTATTCCCATGGGCTTCCACTCTCACAATGTTTATAAACGGCTGCAAATGGGCGGTTTAGTGGATACAAACTCTAATGTCGCCCTCTATGCCCAAACTGGTAGCGCGAAACCATATTGCAGTAAGTATAACGGCCATGAATGCAGTAGTCAGCTTCTGGCCAGTGGGGGGATGGGGTATGGGAGCAGCTTGCCTCCTTTTTACATAAATTAATAGACAAGAATAGAGTATTTACCGCCAATCTGGATTATAGATTAGTAGTGGTATTTATCTCTTATCCAAAAAAATATAAGCCATATTCAGCCAGTTTCTATTAATCCAAAGAGTATACATACATAACTTTTTATTATCTGTTTTCAGGAGTCCATTTTGAGGTGAAACTAAAAGTATCGAATTCAACGGAAAGCCAAGTCCACGGACCAGACATTGGGAAAGTCATGATTACTTTAATTGATAGGAACAATAATAAAAGTGATCACAAATTCTTAAGTGAAGAGCAGTAAGTATTTTTATTCATATTGATTTCAAATATATAACCCGCCTCTTCAAAACCCAATTGAAGAATACAAAGGTTTGATGTTTAAGCTTTGAACTTTAATTAAAACACTTTGAACTGTTTAAAATCCCAAAATATATTAGTTAATTTATTCTTAACACTAGGTTATAAGTATTTTTTGCTATTATTGCAATATCTATAAAACTTTAGTTACCCCAGTGTTTATAAACATATTTTTCATTATAGAAAGTACTACAGGCCCGGTGATGTAGAAACAAAACTAATAGCATTCAAGGACACGGGACACCCTCCCCTATCAGTAAAAGTGGAATGGAAGTACGAAGCCAATATATTAATCCCGATGACTTGGCGGTTACTCAAATCTTCAAGTCTATACATTGAGTACATAAAGATCTCTTCAATCGAATATAATACTGAGTACGTATAAATATTTATTTATTATCTAAACGAATTGTAAGACGTTGTACACGCAAAGACCTGTGTTTGCAAAACAAGTAGGTGACAAGCATTATGTATGTCTATCTTATCTGTCCCATACCCATCATCGGGGTTTAGGACTTTCGTGGTTCATACTTAAATTATTATTAACATTTTTAATTTTTTTTCAGTATTACTGTATGTCCAAAGCTAAGAAAACCAGTGGTTGCCAACCTTCCTACAATCATGAAGACAAAATATTGTATACACAATTAGTTTTCAAACAAGCTGTACCGTAAAGTGGAATGCAACTCTCCCAAAAAGTATTCTTATAGTATTTCAATTAATTTTAAGTTTTTACTCTTAAGTAATTATAAATGTGTTAAGTACTTCCTTTATATAATAGCTGTGTTTTGAATGTTAAATAAAACTATTATTAATAAACCTATGACTGTAATTTTTACAATTGACCCGTTTAGCCATTTTGGCGAGACTTCTATGCCTTACTCGGCCGTCGCGTCGTACGATGCGCCGATGTGATTGTATCATTGTGGACCTAGAATTTGTCAGTTAGAATGAAGTTATGAATATAATCTAATATTTTGAATTATTAGGCTAGATTTAGGTTAAATGTCACTCACTCATTGTCAGACTGACATTGACGTTGTGACATTTGACACTGACAGTTCTACAAAAGAGGTATTGAGCAACGATGCACGCACGATATTGAACTTTCTGCTTAGTTGTTATGTGATTTCATAATTCAATTCACGTAATAATAATTGTTGTTATATCACAGTTTATTACATTAATACAGTTTACCAAGGGCGTGGGTATCAGTGCTACAGAATGGGTGATACAAGAAAGAAGAAAAAGTTCTACTTTCGTAAACGGAGGAACAAGTACTTCTTAGAACCCGGCTTTCGAGGTTTCTTCTGCACGTGTAACTTCAGAGAAAAGGACTGTGTGAAGGAGATGTACAATTTACTCAACGAGTACGCGACTAAACTATATCCAGAAGTTGATGGCCCTCCGCCGGCCACCGCTGATAGAGAAGACCGTACGGACAGCGACTCAGAAAGTGAGACTGACATAGGGGATCTCCTTAAGAGAGAAGTTGACTCTATGAAGAATTACGCTCAGAAGTCACTGAGGCACAAACGATTTCAAGTTGTGGAGACTGGAGCCTCCAACTGCATTTTTATTAAGACTAACCTACCTTGCCCCGAAGAACTGACTACAGCTATTATCAAAGATTTATGTGCCACCAAAGTCCAGAAGACGCGACATGTGTTAAGATTCTTGCCTATAATGGCAACATGTAAAGCTAATTTACCAGATATAATGGAAAGCGCAGGTAAACTGTTTGATAAGTTCTTTTTGAAGACATCTTCAACATTTGCAGTTATTTTCAACAAGAGGTTTAATAGTAGCGTGTCAAGGGACTTGATAATTAAGGAATTAGCAGAGTTAATTGTTTTAAAAAATAGCAGTAACAAGGCTGACTTGAAGAATCCAGGACTTTGCATAATTGTGGAAATTATTAAGGGTATTTGCCTATTGAGTATTGTCGATAACTACTTTTCATATAAGAAGTATAACCTAAATGAACTGTGTAAAGAGGACTCGAGCAATGACGCTGAAGTATCTCAGGCAAAGAAATTTAAGCCTGATATTCCTCAAGAGACTAAAACTATCGAGGCGCCAGTTACTGTTTAAGTACTTTCCAACTTATATTGTTATAATTTTTTATTTTTACTAATCTTCTAGGCTAAGGCAACTTGTGCCCCCTATACCAATTCTTGCACCAAATTTTCTATTTCATACTTATATTGTTAATGTTTCACTAAGATGTAATAAATATTATTTAATGTGATTATAACATGGTTTCATTATCCTACAATTGTTATGTAAGCATATTAAACTAGTTAATTTACATGTGATGTAACTGTTATTCTAGTGACATAATTTCTATTATGTAACTCCTGTTACATTGTTCCTTATGTAATCAAAGGTGAGCTATACTAGCGACGCTTTTAAGCTCGTCAAGTTACGTAAACGTCAAGTTATTCTTTAACTTGACAGTTTAAGTCTCATCCGATAGATGGCGCGACAAACACAAATAACTTATTTTCTATTAGAATTTTTCTGAAACGACAAAATTAGTGTGTTTGTTTTATAATCAAAATATATAATATATTCACTATTGTTACAATTATTAGTAAGTACTTAATTCATAATATACCACCGGAAAATAATATATTTTCGTGTTTTGTTTAGTTGTTATTTTCCAAATTCAAAGTCAAATTCGAAGCATCTAAATTAGTTATTATTGGTTTTCACCAAGTAAACTAATCTGTCCTTTGTCCATAAAAGTTAAAATAGGGAAACCATTTTAAATTCATTTATAAAATAGAAAATTCCTCATATTTATGTGTTATAAAAGATTTATTTCCATACTAGCTTGTCAAGACTTCTTCCGCGTAGAATAGTTATTTAAGCTGTTACCCACTATGTGGTCGGTCCTTCCGTGTTCTTGCAAGTTAATCTTAAAAAATAGATAGCATCGCTGACTTTTTTTAGATCATTTACAGATGAATCATTCTTTATACATATGTTTTGTGGTATCTTGAACCGTTTTTGCAGCCTACGCCTCGAAAACCCATAATGATGAATAATTTTACCATTTTTTTTTTACATTTCTCGCTGTGTCTTCGCTTCTATTAGTCACAGGGCATGTGTTGTTATGTTTTATAGCCTCGATGAATGCTCTAACCGACACAAAAATACTTTTTTAATTCGAACCCGTAGTGCCTGAGATTAGCGCGTTCAAACAAACAACCTCTCCAGCTATATATTAGTATAGATTAAACATAAATTGAGCCTGAAATCATATTAACACAATTATTGTGTACAATTAGTTAACATACAAAAACGGTAATGAGTTGTAATAACTTAGTTAACACTGCATTTAACAATAACGAATTGTAACTCGATAGACATTGATTGTGCATAGTAAATCTTGTGAACGATGAATATAGTGTTGGTGAGAATTTGTAACAAAGGGAGTTAATCAACAAAGCACCCCTTGGCGCGCGTCCCTTGGCTTAAATGCTAACGTACGATAATATTGCAAGTGTATGGCGGTATTTAACGGAGATAACGACTAAAATCATTTAATAAATAATTACTCGATTATTTTTATCGATGATATCATCGATTGCGTACAATTATTAGTAGTGAAATCCCGTTTCACCCTCGTGGAGCATGGGGCAAACACATTTCTGTGTCCGTTTCACTGATCCGTTCTTTAACAGGCAAGTAGTTGATAAGACTTCTGTGCCCTACTCGAACGAAACAATTTTTTTTTGTTTCCCTGGGTGTTGAACCCAAGATCTCTCGCGCTTAATTCAGTGTTAGGCAGTACGTTTAACCATTTGGCTACAGAGGCAGTCAATTATTGCGACTGTTAAATATTGTCTTAAATTCCACCGGCAGGTATAACGAAATCCATCCAATAAACGTTTAATGATTTAAAGAATAAATATTGCGCTTAAATCTCGCTTTAAAAACTAAAAGCTGTTGTTCCAGTTGAAAGACATGTTGTAAATGCCATCTATTAAGAATGTACTACTTTTGCTAGACATTATTCTTATTGAAATCACTTGTATAAACAATTTGGCGCCACTCCAAATATATATAGCTAGTCCGAGGGAACTTTGAATTAATTGTAACATTGTTTTCATTCTTTCATTTTAACATTAATTCTTATAACAGTACTTTGTTCGGCTGGTTCTCTAATGTAGTAAAAATAGCTAGTAATATGTTGTAATAGGCTATTAGGTAATCGAATATGTGTATAGAAGGACAGAGATTAAGTTATTTAAATAAAATACTTTACCGGTTTAAAACGCGATATATTAGTTAAACTTAGCATGCAAAACGTCGGGCCGCAGTTAAAATAATTTTCAAATAAGTTTAACTAATATATCGCGTTTTAAGCCGTTAAAATGTTTTATTTAAATGTGTACTACTCGCGTAAACTATAGACAGTATTTAGTCATAGTTTAATTGAATTGTATATTCCTATGTTAGTTTTAAAGTTCAGTGTTCACTTGGGCTCCCACCAAGTCATTGTAATTTTAATGAGAAAATAAATAAATATGAAAAAATTTGATTGGTTGAATATTAGGTGCCTTGCTACCACTACACCAACGATCCTAATTGTGACTCGTTCAACCACCTTCTATTTTAGGCACCAGCTCCTATCTCGAGATCTTCAAAGGCACCAATACCTGTATTGCTTGAACTGTCTATGCCGCACCCTTTGTATCGGGTTTTCACCATTAGGCCACATTCGAACGGCTAGTTCGATTTTCATTGTTTCATTGTAGTGTTTCAAATTTAAGATTGTATTGTCCTTACACATTTGAATTGTATGGTAGGGCTTCCTTACTGTTGGAGAAACCAATCTTTACTAATATATAAAGCTGAAGAGTTGTTTGTTGAAACGCGTCTAGTCTCTGAAACTGCCGGTGGTAAATGAATTGAATTGAAAAAAATATTTTTGCGGTGGTTAGAGCATTTATCGAGGAAGGCTATAGGCTATAAAACATCACGCTGCGACTAAAAGTGGAGAAAATGGGGAAAATTGTTTATCTTTGTGGGTTTTCGTTGCGTACTCTGTGAAAACGGTTCAAGATACCCAAAAAATATGTACTAATGAAAGAATGATTCCTCCTTAGATGATAAAAAAAATGTCCGCGACACTATACCTATGTCTACCTTTAACTTAATTAAATATTGTAAAATTAACTTGTAAGAACGACGGGACGCGATCGATGTCGTGGTGTAACCCACAACGTCGATCGCGTTTAAATCTATAAAAATGAAGAGGAGGTTTGCACAACAAATTTTTGTCTAACGTAAGTATTTTACGCGAACGAAGTCGCTGACAAGCAATAGTAAATATTAACATTTTTCTATACAGCCATTCCTCTTTTATTATTTATAAAGTTGCATCTTTGTAAGATCAAAATTTTAATCTAAGTTTTTACTGTTTAGTGTGTTAACGGTTTTTTTGTTGTGTTGGTTTTGATATCATTGTATTTTACAATTTATTGTTTTTCTCTTTTCTTTATACAAAGGTTGCCTGGAAGAAATCGCCATAATCGCATAAGGTCAAGATTCAATATATATGAATCTAGACGCTATTCTATCTATTGTCTGTCCAATATTTATACGAATAGGTGTTGCATTGTCTCCTATGTATTATCAGTAAGCATACCTTTATCCAAATTAAAAATATGTTTAGATTGAAAAAAAATCACGACACCAACTAAGCCACCGTGTGACGATAATGTCAAAGACAAGGTTTAATGATTATTTTAAAAGTAAAACAACATTAATGTAATGTAATGTGCAATAACTAGTAAAAGAAATAATCTTTTCAAAGGCATTCCTTTACCAACCCCGAATTTAAGTGCCGTGAAAACAAAAAAGTGTTTCGACAAGTCTAACCAACCAGAAGCAAAACCCAACAGTGGATGATGCACGTAAATTTGTCTGTAACAGGCTTTATATAGAAACTTTTACCCGATTTCACCGCAACAGGAAATAGTAAATAAGCTAAGATATTTTTACGAGGCTCAGGTAAAGACGGTTCGTTAGAAAGGGTTTGAGTTTGTATCCGTGGTTCTAAGCTAGAGCTCGCCAGTCTCAACGCTGGAATAACAAGCACAAACGGACACAGGCAAATCCAACCCGAGTCCCGGATTTGTAACGAAGCGAGGCTTATGCCGTTCACTTCTACATTATATGACCGAATCACTTGGAGCGCAGATGCTTAGTGAAGATTCTCAATAGTGTCTATCTCTGCGCCGCGTTTCGAGTCCATTTACGTAAAATGTTTTTTAAGTATTGGCGAATCTGGAGACTGCATTTTAATATTGGAGTGGAGAGCGTTTCTTTTTTTTAAATGATAGCAGAGTAAAAATTCGTTTGGTATTTGCTTTTTAATGGCCATTGTTGATATAGTCTTCTTGTTAGAAGTATGTTACAAATCGATTATAGAATGGAAAAATTATACGACGGGATGGATTTGACCCTAGCGTTCCGTGCTGTTGCTCTAAAGTATGACATAAAAGTGTGTTTCCAAGCGTTTTAAAATTGTTTTCTATGGTTTTGGAACCAGGCCCTCTCATAGTAGGTGACACGCTGGTTCGGCTGTCGTGGATACACAGCTAAATATTATTATTGCATCGTGGTTAGTATATTCGACTATTTTGGAGTTTATTTGTTATTGTCGGGTATTTACCGACAGACACATGATGTTTGGTACGTTGGTAAGAGTCACCTCCTACTACGAAGCTTTGGGCTAGCACCAAACATCAGAACGCACGGTAAGCCGGGGATTTCGATTGCTTTTTAATGGCAGTTCAGCTTAAGTCCACTAACCTGTACTGGAGTAAAATGATAAATCTATTATTTATTACGTTTGTTACGTTATCTTTCTTATTTAGGTTTAGAGTCTGTAGATATGTTTAGTAATTGTGTGTTGGTTTTGTTTTGATATTTTTAAGATTGTTGGTATATTGTTGCACCATCCGCCTTTTGCATCTTGTCGCCCACCTTGCACATTTCGTTTTCCCTCTCTTTCTTCTGGAAGAGATCGCTCTTTAACGATAAGGCCGCCTATTGCACTTTTTTTTTAGTATAGA